CTAGAAAATCACCAACTAGAAACAGAGAATTAGATTCTATTCTAAGATTCATAAAGTAATCTTTACAAAATATGTAAACTCTATAATAATTGAATAATTACAAATAAAATGTACGCTTAGATGCGTTTTTTAAAAAAAAATAAAAAATAAAAAATTAAAAGTTCAAAACAGCTATATATAAATAACAAACATGTATGCAATAATTTGAACGAAGCTATCTCAACAACCATCCAAGCAAATGTGACAAACTTTTTTTTATTTCAATTCTAGATATATCTAGAATTAAAATAAAAAAAAAGTTTATTAAATTTGCTTGGATGGTTGTCAAAATATTTTCATTTAGAGAAGTTCTGTAAAAATTTGAAATGCCTATATATAATTATGATTAACACCTGTGAATAAAGATATCTTGACAACCAACCAAGCAAATGTGATGAACTTTTTTTATTTTAATGCTAAAGATTTCTAGAAGTAAATAAACAAAGCTTATCAAATTTGCTTAGATGGCTGTCAAGATATCTTCACTCAGAGTTCTGTAAAAATTTAACAAACACTTGTGCAATAACTTTGAACAAAGATATCTTGACAACTATCCAAGCAAATTTGATGAACTTTTTTTTATCTTAATTCTAGAGGTCTTCAGCATTAAAATAAAAAAGTTTATAAATTTACTTGGATGATTGCTAAGATATCTTTGTTCAAAGTTATTGCACAAATGTTATTATCATAATTATGTATTGGTGTTTTAAATATTTATAGAATTATATCTTGACAACTATCCAAGCAAATTCAATAAACTTTTTTTTAATTTAATCCTAGAGATCATTAGCATTAGAATAAAAGAGTTTATCGAATTTGTTTAGATGGTTGTCAATACATCTTTGTTCAAAGTTGTTATCATAATTATGTATAGGTGTTTTTAAGTTTTTACAGAACTTTGAGCAAAGATATCTTGACAACTATCTAAGCAAATTCGATAAACTTTTTTATTTTAATTCTAGAGATCTTTAAAACTAAAATAGAAAAAGTTTATTGCATTTGCTTGGATGATTTTGAGATACTGTATTTTCAAAAAAAAACATTAAAAAATCAATAGTATAAAAAAACTCAAATAAAAATTATTTATATTTATTATATTTTATTTATTTATTATAAATCAAGAATTAAAATATAAATTTGCATTCTATTTTCAAATATTAAAGTTCTTATAAAGACTCCATTTGTATAGATTGTATAATTAAAATATGAACAGTGCATTATCACTTGATACTCTGTAGCATTGTAAAATATTGAATGATTTAGCTTTAATTAAAAATAATAAAATTATTAATTAATTATAAAAACTTTTATTAATCATTACTATTTTAATTAGTGTGATCAATAAATTTTGGAAATCTCTCAAATCTTACATATTGCTATTGTTAAAACAATGGCAACATACAGAATTCATAGGATTTACAAAATTCTATTTTTTGCAACTTTTTTAGCCTCTAATTTTTTTGGTACTTCAATTTTAACCAATTCTCAACTCTCATATATTTCGAATCTATTGTTCTCAAAAATTCATTGAAATTTTCTTCAAGAATCAATGGTTAGTTTATTGGTACCATAAATGTAGTCATGAAAAATATGCCAGCAAGGCAGCAAGTAATGATGAAAGAACAAGCACTAACAGTTTAATGATATTAAACCTGGAGGCCCTTTACCTTTTTTTAATCTTTTTGCTATAGCAAAAATTTCATCAATGACTATTTTTTGAATAAGATAAGAAAATTTATGGACCTCATTAAGAATTTCATGATCAATGCCAAATGCTGATATTCTTTTTGTACAGAATTCAAAGGCTACATACTCAGCATCAGACTATTTTTTTGCATCCACTGTTACAATGTTATGATAGGTGTCAATTAAACCATGGTAAAGAGAAGTTGTATGTTTTAGCTTACTATGATACGATTCTATAGGATTGGTGAATATTACTTGCATAAGGAGAAAGGAATGTTGGCAGGCCCAAAGAGCCCATTGGTGAGTATTTTTTTTGTAATTACAAACTACATATCTTTGAATTGTAGAAATAAAACATTTGTTAGTAGCCTGTTGAACAACCTTCTCACATTTGATTTTTGTTTGTTTATGCATTGTTCTAATTATTTCATTTCTGGTTTTTACTTCATACATCTTACTTATCCAGATTCATATAATATGGATGATACAAAAGATAGTGCTACACTCCTGCTCACCTGCTTGAAGCTTAGGAAAGCCAATGTAATAGCATTGCTCTCTATACTACTTTGATTGATAAGAAAATATCAGAATTTCCAGTTATACCTTAACCTTTTTATTATTTTTAATGCTTCTGTGACAGTGCAGCTATCTTCTTTGCTTACAAAAAAGTGTGCACTGATGTTTCAGCAACTATGAGCATTGCAGATGTATAATGAAAACAGACATCAATCATGCCTGTTTGTTTTATACATAGAATCAAGAAGAGTCAGTTATCCAAAATATTGAAGTTTTTCTAATTGATTTTTATAGGCAAAAATGAAACCTTAATATACTGATGAACTTTATAGTACTTAACTTGGTATTTCTGATTCTTTAAAAAAAACTGACTCCTGAATATCTGCTATCAATTGTGAATTACTGATAAGAGGGCATTCTAAGACCCTCGAACTTTGTATTTTATATTGGCAACCTTCTTATATCTTAACTTCTTTACACTTTTAACAAGCTCTAAATTCACTGTAGCATATTCTTTAATAGCACTAGTTATCACAGGGAATGAATAGTTCTTCATAGCTTCCTGCTCAACTAGAACTTGAACAGCTTTTGAACATTTAAGCTTTTCACTATTCTCCAAAGTATGAGCATGATCAGAAGAGTTTAAATACTATTCGACCTGTACTACTTGATCTGTTATCAAGTGAAATACTTTAATTTTTGCAGAACATTGATCAGTGGGACAAACTTTGGTTTTTCAGTACTTTTTACTTGGTATCTTCTCTTTCTAAGTATTTGATTTATTGTGCTTGGTGAACCGGCAAGTATATACCTTTCAAGAGTTTTCATTATTATAGATTTTATAATTAAATTGAATCCAAACATTGGACACAAGAGGCCACCACTTATCATCAAATTCTCTTAATGAAATTGTAACAAGTCGATTAATATTAAAGAGAATATTACATTTCTTATTAGGAGTTAAATTCGTTAAGTTCATATGTTTATAAAATATTGTTAAAAAATTATATATATATATAAAATATATATATGTTTTTTTTTTTTTTTTTCAAAAACGCGAATTGGCGTACTTTATTAATATAATACAATTATTTAACTATTTACAATCTAATATGTGTTTAATGTTTATATGTTTCATAATTTTTTGTATTCCTTTTCCTTTTTGCAATTTGTTTAGGACTTG